CATGAAGAACGAATCTTTGAAAATTTGAAAATATTGATATAAAGATTGAATCAAAATTCAATTGAAGATCAAGCCATATATCCCGGGAAGCCCTTAAACAGAAGATCAGGCCATAAAACGCTCATTTTGTTGAAGATCAAGCTACTTGAAAATCGGAGGCCCTTCAAGATGAATTCTACATTCAAGAAGATTTGAAGATCCGAAGAACGAAGATTCAAAAATTCGAAGATCTTAAGAATGAAGATTCGAAGATGGGAAGAACGTTCGAATTATGTTATGAAGAAGAGAATCTGATTGGACTGATTCTAAATTTGCTAAGATATGAAGAAGATTTGAAGATTCGAAGAACAAAGATTCGAAGATCTCAAGAACAAAGATTCGAAGATCCGAATAACGTTCGAATTTTTGAAGGATTAAAGATTTAATTTTGAATTAATTCTTTAATTATATTTTTCAAATTGCAACTGAAGAATTATAGGATTCATGTTTAGAGATTATACCCAATATTCTCATATATTATTATTGGTGATCAATTTTAAATAAATACTTCAAATTTATTTCACAAATACTTAAAAAAAACTGAATTAGATCGCAAATTATACCGTGGGATCATCCCACGGTGAGCATGGTGCTCCTGATCCCAAACGGTGTCGTTTGATTATTACAAATGACCGACTTTCTTCAGATTTGCAGACCCGTGCCCTATCAGATTCGGATGTTGCTAAACTACACAATTAGATCGCTTCTCCTCTTCCCTTCATTGCTGGAATCGCTACCAGAAAGGAGTTCAACTCACTACACCAAACTGAGTCACCTCCCATGGCGAAGTTGATTCTTGAAGATGGGAGCTACAACATTTTCCCTTCCCCATCAAAGCCTCCAATCTCCTTCAGGACCCCACAGTTCTCATCTGCAACTCCGACGACGTTTCCGCCATCAGCACCGACGAGGAGCTCCAGCTCGGTCACCTCTATTTTGCTCTCTTGCTGGCCCGTTTCAAGTGCTCCGTAGTGCTCTGTTTTTTTTTTTTGAAGAATGCTCTCTGGTTCTCTTTTTTTGGGCAGCCCTGCTAGTTTCTTGAAAAGTAGTTTGGGTTAAAAAGTTACATTTTTGTTAAAAATATTTACATTTATATTGGTATGAAGTTACATATTCATTTGTGTGAGTTACATATACATATTTTTATGCTTAAGTTACATTATTTTATAAGCGAGTTACATCTTCTAAAGCGCAAGTTACATTTGTTATCAACGCGAGTTACACTTGTAATAACATGAGTTACATAAATAAATCATGTATTGAGTTACATGAAACAAAAAAAAAATTGATTTTTTAAAATCCTTGTGATGGTCATGATATTAAAAACACAAAACATATTCACAATTTATGTAAAGTAATTGTGTGGTTACTCTTTTTTTTCATTGTTTACATTGAAATCAATGTTTCATCTCTTAGGCATCGTATTGGATAAGTTACATTTCAATTGACCTACAGTTACATTTCTTATCAAGGTAAGTTACACTTCTTTACACGCGAGTTACATCACGATATTACTGGGACAAAAAATAAAAAAATTAAAAGCTACTGTTCACGCGTGTTACTGTTCACGCGTGTTACTGTTCACGCGTGAATTTTTTTAATTAAAAGTTGTGCAAAACTATGTCGTTTTAAGAGCAGGAGTATGGTGCTCATCGTGGGATGATACCACGGTATAGCGCCTCGAATTAGATAGACTAATCGACCAACCCTCCATCAACTTTCACATATAGCCCATGAGTATTTGTCAACCGGGAAATCATCAGAGAAAATTGATGTTTTTTGTTACTGGGTTATGCTTCTGGAGATCATAATTGGGCATAGAGCCTAGCTTCAACTTTGCTCGTCTTGCCAATGACGATGAGGTCGATGATGTTATGTTACTTGATGATTGGATAAATGTTTTCCAACCGTTCAATAATCCATCCACCCCCAACATTATTTAAGTCCCTCCCCTTCTATGGATTATTATACTGCCACTGTATAGCTTTAAATAATACCAATTATCACCTATAAATCAATAATAATACATACTTTGAAAATGATTTTTAATAATATCAACTATTTGAGTATAAACCAAAAATAATATGGAGTCACTTTCGACAAGAGATCTAATCATTTAAGACATTAAAAACTAATTGCACATTATCAAATGATATTTGGAAATACAATCACCTATTTGATATCTTGATAGTAGTTTTTGATGAATTAAATTACTAAATTTTCATTGAAAATTTGTTCTATATCACTTTTGGCTTGTATTATTTAAAGTTATTTTCCCAAAACTTTAACAACTATGATATCTTATTAGATGAATATATGTTTAAGTAAATAAATAACAAGATCTTGGCCTGCTCTACCCATATTGGATTGAAGTCTTAAGAGGAAGTTCCAAGTCTTGAAATGGTGTATTAGAGCATATTAAGATCGAACGCGCAGAGTCAAATACTCTCAACGTAGTTATGGATTTTTTGCCACTTTTGGTCCTTTGTGTTTGCTTGTTCTGTATGGGAGTTGGTTGGTAAAAAAGTTAAAAGTCAGGGTAAAAAGTGAGAATGACTTGGAGCCCGTTTTGTAACACGAAAATCAGCTGAGCTGCCTGATTGTTGAAATTTATAAAGTTCTGACTGAAGTGGTTGCATTGGTTAATTTTGCAGATTTAAGAAAAAATCATTTTTAATAAACATAATTCACTCTTTAACCTTGTTTCTTTCTTAACCTACCTTCATTTTAAACATCAGGAGAAGAAGTATGAGACATTAGTTGACGAAGATCTTCAGGGTAATTACATTGAAGAGGAGGTGGAGCAGCTAATTCAAGTAGCCCTTCTATGCACACTAAGTTCCCCGGTGGAACGTCCAAAGATGTTCCACCATCATCATCATCACCATCATCCAAACACTGATTGGATCATTGCTGATTCCACTTCTAATCTCCGGCCTGATGAGTTATCTGGCCCAAGATGATAATTACGGTTGTAATTGCTCTTGTTTTAATCTTTGTGCATATGTAACGTAATTTTTTTTTCCTCTTATTATTTGCTGTATTAGAAAGGACTTTTGATGTCAATAGGTGGCTGAAAGTTCACCATGGCAGGAATGCTTGGAAGGCGCCAATGTACTACTTCATTTGTTGCTGTAACATCTTTTTTCTCCTTTGATATTAATCAAATGTTCCATATTTCATATTCTTAAATCTGAATAATATCCAAATGTCACTAGATAAAAACTCGTTTGAATTCACACCTCTCAAGCAACAACCAGTCAATAGTCGGAACTGAATTGATGCCAATAAACATTCTTGTTAAAATGGTGGTTTCGAATTCCCTTGTCTCAAAACTGGACATGTCATGGCCTCACGCCCTCATGATTAAGGTGATGAAAATTCTAAAACAAAACTAGGCTGAATCTGTTGAGATAGATCGGTCTTTCGACTGATAAACTGAGTTGGTCGATACTCGATAGTTCCAGCATCTTTAACCCTCTTTGCATCGGCTCATACACAGAATTACATTCAAAAATCCCAGGGGTTTTCACTTCAACACCTCTTCGCGTGATAGCTTAGAGCACCTCTTCCATCAATATGTACTGCCAAGACAAGAACCAGCCCTAGAAATCAGCTATGTTGTAAAAACCGGACCGGAGAGTGACCCGGACGAATGGTCGGGTCACGGGTCAACCCGGACCCGGCGGGTCAACCCGGTCAACAACCGGTAAACCCGGTCAACACCAATATTATTAATAATGATAATACTGAGCAATGCCAAACGAGCCTATTGGATGGATATTTTTGGAATTCCTTCGTTAAGGTTGTAATTTTTTCGTTTTTGGGTAAAGTTCAGTCCCCCCAGCTTTATATTTTTCCACATATTAATAAATCTCGGTAAATGACTCCCGGCATTTACCCCACTGATTTTGGTGGTTAGCCTTCCGGGATAAAAAAAACACTGAGCAATGTCAAAAAAATTGGACTAAAGTTTATTGACTAACAAAATTTAAAATGCATTTGAATTTAGATAGATAATAAAAATGAACATAATACTAATTACAAAATATTAACAAAAATTGGAAGATCACATACTACATACGTGATTGGGAAGTATAATAATAACATTGATTTGTAATTATTATTATTTTTATTTTTGTTATAGATTAAATATGTAATTAACTAATTAATTAAGACTTTCAAAAACATTTTAGGTTTACATAGTATAAACATAATAAAGAAAAAAATATCACCAACTAACTAGCGGAGCACATTGGTCAGCTAGTTCCGAATACTAGCAGTAGGCGTGAGTTCGAAACCCACGGACTACTTTCTTGATGTTTTGCTCAAATCCTGGGTTTGGGACGGTTTGCTGGTCAACCGAACCGGCGTGATGGCCGGCTGGGCGGGTTCCGGGCCCAACCGGGCGGTCCGGGTCGGTTCTTACAACACAGGAAATCAGGTAAAATCTTCCATCTCCAAAATGCACTAGGATTATTCAGTTCTGACCCGGTTCCAATATTTAATAGGCTTAAAATTGCTTTAGCAACCAGATCTAAGACCATTGGTTACTCATACACTGGTTAAGGTTCTAATTAGGGGTGGACTGGGCCTAGGCAAGGCTCCAGGTCGAGCTGGGGCAGGCTCCGGGTCTTAAATACTCAGGCCCAGTACCAGCACGGGTTAGATCCGGGACCGGGCAAAAAATGATTTTTTTTAGTCTTTTAGAATTTATTCGAACCCCCCCCCCCCCAACCGCCCAGCCCACCTATTTCGAAGCCCATAGCCCACATCTATAAGCCCCCAGTTTGGGCCCTAGTCCCGGTCTTGGTCCCCCAGGTCGGGTCGGGTCGGGTCGAACCGGCCCACTCCACCCCTAGTTCTAATATATGAACCTTCTTATTTGGTTTGAGTATCCCTACCTATTAATGAGAACAAATAGTCCACTTGCTTTGCAGGCATATGTGAAAACTTAAAAGGTAACAAAAGCAGAGGTAGAATGAGAATGAAGCAGATAAGATCAACAACCAGCCTTGATTTACTTTCAGTAGCACCCATAGAAAAAGGCTCTTGTTTCATACACTATGCCTGTCATTTAAGAGACTAACAAACTGCAGGTCAACTCTTTGCTGTATGCCTATCATAGTCCAGAATCAAGATATGCGTCCATGTACAACTAAAAGTCTAAAATGGTTTTATATCCCACTTGACATAATTGTCTTCATTTCCGGTTGCTTGTTCTTGGTTTCCCTTTGACCTCGGATTCCTGTTATTAAAAAAAAAAAAAAGGAAATCAGAAAGAGTTCTGAGCAACTCAAATGTGTTCGAACGTTTTATATTAATACCTGCGGCAAGTGCAAGAAAATGCTAGTCTTTGCTGTTGCTGGATTATGATTTTCTGCACCCTTGCTCCAATCATAACACACCTAGGATGGAGCAAGGTAAACATATATTTATGATATCTTCACTAAAAAATTATCATCAAAGATAAATAGGGTGAAACAATAATAATGAGGAAGGAAGAGTACAATTTACCGCATATGCATATAAAGAGCCATCGTGGTTGAAAGTGCTGCACGGTATAGGCTGATTGCATCTTTGCATTGCCTAAAAATAAACATACTTGACCATAGTTGGTATGCACAATGTCCAATTAAAATTAGGACAAAAATACACAGGCCCGGCACAGTTGACCCAAAAACTGGTGACATGGCACATGAGGACCCAAAAACTGGTGACATGGCACATGAGGTACAACAACAACAACAACATCCAAGCCCTAGTCCCAAAAGATATTGGGGTCGGCTAGTATTGAATCGATACATGATATCACCACCAAAAGGAAAAGAAAGAAAATAAAGATAAAAAAAGAGAAGCTATTATAAAAAAGATAATATAAAAGAGATGAATATACATAAAAATGATAAAAATAATATTTATATATATAAGAATAAAAGGATTAAAAAAACAAGAAAAAAGATGAGGGGAAAAGATGATACGAGATCACTCCTCCACACCAATATCCGCCCTCCACTTTGCTCTCTCCAAAGTCATACCCTCATCCAACCCATGAGGAAGAAAATTACTTCTGACTCCCCTAACCTACGTCTGTTTGGGCCTTACTCTCCCTCTCTTCCCTGCCTCTAATCTAATACATGGCACATGAGGTAAAATTGAGAAAATCTGGCCCAGAATCAAATCGGCAAATCCCGATTTTTATGACTTTTTTAGGCCACTAATCTAATACAATTGCAGTCCTTGTTCTTCAGTGCACCTATTCTGGTTTATGCAAGGGTAGAAACCTGACTCTTGTTTTGTGTGAAAATATATACTAGTAGTAGTTCTTAAATATGGATTTAGGTCAGGTTTCTATATCCTTGGAGTCTTGAAAGTCAATAAGTTGTCTAATACACTTAAAGAATTCCATAATTCCATAAGTGGTGCGTAACATTTATCGTGCATCAATAAAATGCCCGATGGTGAGAAGTTTAATCAACAATATCTCCTCTTTCCTTTCTATAAAACTTTATACCTTACACAAAAGCTTTACAAGTTTAACTAGACTAGAAACTATAAAAGAAAAAAGTTACCTTAAGCCTCTGTTTGCTGTCTTTGTCCCAGAAGTTGAAGGCACCATCAGATCCAGCAGTAGCAAAAGTGCCATGTACCTGCAATAGAGAAAGGTTAAACTTGTATAATAATTGGATCAGTTCGTTTGAAGATTTTAAAAAACAAAATGGTGAATTAAGAAGAGTCATGAGATATTATGAAAATCAAATACAGCTTACGGAAGTTTAAGGATAAGAGAAAAAACAAAAATTAAAAAATAACAAGTCAAAGAACAACATAAAGGCATATGACATTTTAAAACAGGTTCAAAAAGTAATTAGGCACAATAGCTGGACTGCTTTATTGTGATACTGACCATACTTTAAGCTAGTAACCTAAGTAGTTAAATCGCTACTCTGTAGCAAGTCAATCAAGGACCATGTAGCGAGTAGGACCAAGTACTTGGCACTACTCGGTGATTAATCGGCCATGTATTAATTAAATTTAAAAATATAGATGCCCAAAATTATAATACTACATAATATATTAGTCGTACAATTCTTAGATGTGAATAAAATGATAATAATCCTAATGATGAAGTAGCAAAAGTAAAAAAACATTCTAAGTTTTCAAGAAAATCAATCATCTTATAATTTCCTCCGTTATTAATCTTCATTGGGTTCAACACTTCAAGGTTGTTGATGGAGTATAATTCCAACGGCAAGAGCTAACTACGATAGGTTTGATGATCCAGAAGGAATAATAACCCTTACGGTCAAGCTCGGTTCGTACCCGTGCAAGCGCACGGTGGAGGCAGTTCGTGGTGGTTCGCCTACCTAGCATACAGTCCATAGTAACATCAGTCGTCATTTTCTTCTTCATCCTCTATGTCCATAGCCTTTGGAAGGTTACATTCCAATTTTTAAAATAGCCACTCATTATTTACAAATTCCATAATATCCGACTTTAATTAGAAAATCAGAATTAACCCCAAAAAAAACATGGGTGGCCAAGTACCTCGCCGAGTCAAGTAGTTCCCCGAGTTAAGAAACTAGCCGAGTGCTCGGCAAGTAACTCGGAAAAACAGGACGGGCCAAGTCCCATAGCTAAACGGAAAGTAACTAGTACTCGTCGAGTAGATAACACAGCTAGTAACCAAATGCATGAATACAGTACAGGCATTCTGTCTTGATTTACTTTTTCATGCTATCTTCAATCACAAAAATCTTTTTTTTTCAGTCCATCTGTATATAAAATATATTATAATCTCTTAAAATGATTTGAATAAGTACCCTATTTGAGGGATAACTTAAGAATATGCCAATGTGACGCATCAAGTTTATTTTTTTCATGAAAATGCAAGCAAAAGTAAATGCATCATATACTTTGAGACAGAGGGAGTATGAAATGAATGTAGCGAAAAGCGTTACCATGTACCACAGTAAAAACAGTCATTTTACTTAAAGAATGCATATTAGATACACAAAAAAGTCGTATTATATAAATAGCATGTTTTTCTCCAAGTACTCAGAAGATTAATCGCAACAAAAGATTTCATTTTCGACATCATTATTTACAAAAGATGTTCACTTCACCAAGAAACTGAAAAAGTAACAACATATATGTACTAGGCACCTGGAAAGTGAAGAAACAAAGATCATTATAAATGTCTTACTGGGTGGAAGTTCAGAGAGTTGACGGAGTAAATATCAGTGTTCTCCCTGTGGCATTTGAAAGTGAAGTTTTTGTTGTGCTGCGCATCGTCAATGTGGTGCACTCCAACCCTTCCTTCAATTGAGCCCACCTAAATTACACAAAACAAATTTTTATAATAAACAGCACTCAAAGTAGTTAGCTATTAAGAGTAGAATGTAGAAATTATTCACACACATCAAATCCAACGCGCATTCTTAGTCACTGCATTTTAGGCTTAACTACAAATTGCAGTGTAAAAACTCACCAGGAAACCTTGTTTATCAGGAAAGGCAGCCAAGCACCTTGTCTGGTACTTCAGTGGTGACGTGACCCTCTTGAACTCTGTCTGTAATATTAATGGTTTATGTCAATAATTAATTGTATCCATCGAATAAATTGGATATAAAATAGAAGGTTAGCAAATCATATCGAATTTTAGTAACTCCTAAGTGGCGCGTCTAAGAAGAACTGGACATATTGTGAAACAATGCAGCCGATATTGCCTCATGGTTCAACAAATGAGGAAAGCCATCAATTCATAGTGTCTTGTACACCAAAGTAATTTGTAATGGGGAAAGAATAAAAAATAAATAAATAATCCTGTGCAAGAATAGAGGATTACAATTGACCAGTGTCAACTGTCAACCTGTCAATCAATTTCACCGCGGATTGATTTTTTAGTTTAACACAGATTTCACTATTTCAGTATTACCTAATAATATTGCAGTCTCCCTCTTTTATGAATTATGAGTAGCCAGTAGCAAATAATTTTGACTATTTAATACATACACGATCTCATATTGTCAATTATTGCATAGAAAGAAATACCTGGGGACTTTGCAAATTAAAAACTATAAGATTTCTGTCAGCAGTTGCCGCAACCATTAGCGGATGTTTTACTGCAAGTGCATAACAGCGTTCGGGAAGTTGTTGAACATGAGCTGGATTTTGCTGCCTTAGATCCCAGTACCTGATGAGGATGATTATAAAACATAGATTACCACTCCTAAATCAACTACGTAAAGCAATTCAATAATGCATGTGTGTCAACGGAATACATTTTCAACAAAATGACAGGGTAAAATGGTACAGCACACAGAAACCTACAGAAATGGGTAGCCTGTATACGTTGTGCTAAGACCAAATTGTTAGCACCATATTTGATATACTGCAATATCTAATCAATCATACAATAATAGGAACATTTTAATAATGCATCAGAATCATGAAGAGCAGAGGGTTGTTAGAGTGATTAGATAGAGAACATATGGAGAACACTACAAGTCCAAGGACTAAAACAAATTACAAAAAAACAATTCCCAAAAAAAGTGTCTACTAAGTTTCAAATTATAATTGGTAATTTAGTTAAATCCCAAACATCACTTATATGTTTTTTCAGCCCCTTCAAATCACTAAATGTAAATATAAACTAAAAGTGAAGGCCATTACTAACCTCAAGGTTTTATCCCAGCTTCCTGAGACTAAGAGGCTCATTTCAGGAATCCAAGCAATCTCTTTCACAGGAGCATCATGCATGGCAACAGTTACGGGTTGATTACCACCAAGTGGCCACATCTTTACTTGCTTGTCACAGCCTCCAGAAAATACTGTTGAACCATCATCTTTCCATGCGGAGCATAAAACCTTCCAAGTTTTAAATAAAAATACCAATTAACCACAATGTAATATAAAAAGAAACAACATAACATTATTAAGAATTATGTGACAATTGACATTACCGGTTGGTCGTGTGATATGGACGCTTTGGGTGCTGTTCCAATATTCATGCCACTTTGCATTACTTCCCAACAACGTACCTAAAAAGGAATGGCAAACAAATTAGTTCTCACATGTTGAGAACAAAAAAATAAAAAACAACGGGGTAAACCGTTGCCCAGATAATCAACCGTAAAAATACCGTTACCCAAAGCCAAAAGGCTAAAACCAATTTTATTCCAAGATGAACCAGAATGAATCCTAAGTCCTAACAAGTGGTTTAAATACTCATCTACTAATTCTCAAACTAGGAAACAAAATCCTAGAAATCCTAATCAACTCCAACTAGGAAACAAGATAATAAAGATCCTAATCAACTTCAAATAGGAAACAAATAATAGAAATCCTAATTAATTCCTAATAGGAAACAAATCAGGAAAATTAAAAAGAATAAATATTAATTAAACAGCCCGCAACCAGCCCACGAAGGTGGACTTAAGCCCATCCCCGCCTTCAGTAAACCCACGGAGGCTTCTGCCCCTCTGCTTCCAAGCCCAGATTATGCTTCATATCATCACATCACATATGGACATGGGGATGAATGCAGGTTTAAGGGTTGCACAGGAAACAGGGAAACTAAGTCTATCATTAATAGCTAACAAATTTCTACATCCAGCTAGCAGCCTGACAAGTGAGAACATTCTGAAATATGAGTTATACCGGATTTTTAAGGTATTATGTGAATTGAACAGGTTAATAAAATTCTCATATAAACTCCAAATTAACTCTAACCTACATACTTCAACAGCTCTTCACAGGATTGAAATGCAACAAAATTAGGTACCCATGCAGCATCACTTTATGTGTGACATGAGAATGTTGGAGCCTGGAGGGGGGCAGCAAATAGACATTAAAGGTAAAAATAATTTTCTTAACGGATATAACAAAATGAACCTGATTGTCCCATGATGTAGCCACCAAGAAGTTTGCCTTTGGGCTAAAACAGAGGCTTGATACTGAGTCACTGGGAGGTTGCGCAACCTTCATTCACCAAACCCCAAAAGTTAACAAGTGCAGAAACATAGCATATCAATAAGAACTGATCATTGGGGGAGAGAGCCAGGAGGTAGCCCTAAAGTACTTCATTATATTTACAGCCAAAACCCTATACCTCAGTAGACTTATTAGGATTTGTATTCGCCGTAGTTGCGCCAAATGCCGACATTGAAGCTGATTATGATCTGAAACACATTCATTAGAAATAGTGTAAACTCAAAAGAAGATTCTAAAAAAATTGTCAAAGTTCTTTTAAAAAACACTCCCGTTTAATAATACGAGCATGTGTGCATGTTTGTGTAATGTAAGCAATAAGTTTTAATTATATACTAATACATATAACTGTATGGATTATATAATTATCAACTATATTTTGCTACCAAAATTCATTTTCAAATTTTCTTTCTTCTTATTTTATATGGAGTATAATATAAGTTCAATATAATATCATGGTATCCTGAACCCCTATTTGAAGAAGAACCTTGAGCCAAAGCAATCAATTACAATAAAATGTTGCTAAAAATCAGAGCAAAGAAAACCAATAATGCTAAAAACAGCAAACTTTTAAACCTGGATATAAACAAAAAACTAATGAAAATGAAACAGATTTCTACTGTTATAGAGTATAGAAATATAAAACAATTAAAACTCAGATATTCTAAAGTTACAGACTTACAGATAATCCTAATATAAAATCTGGTGAAGCTACAGATAAAACTACCAGAGAGCAACTATGTAAGATTTCAAAAATAAAATAAATAATTAGAATAAAGCAAATACTTATCAGAAAACCATAAATAAGTCCTGTACTAAGATTACACATTTTTATATATAGGGTTAATTTGATTTATATGTAGAGTAGTCTTTTAAATTTGGAACTTTTAACTCCCTACGTCCCTTATAACTTTGTCATTTTTCGTTTTTTGGTTGTCTTAAAAACATTGGCACTTTCTTTTTTAATCAGTTATTTTGAGGCTCCTATCTTTTCTCTCTCCTCTACAATTCCACGTGTAAGTCAAGCTTGTCACAGTTATAAGGGATGGAGGGAGTATAACATATATAAAACATCAATACTTCTGAGGAGCCAATCCAGAAAAAACAATATCGGGGCAGACTGGTTTATAAAGCACATCCAGACAAAAAGCTGAATAAAATATCCCCTCCCTGACGGCTCCGTCACAAGTGGTGGATCTAGCACTTGCATTTTGGGTGTTCGAAATTACTTTACAACAATAATTAAGAAAAAAAATATTGTGTGATGAAATCATTCTAAAAATGTATATTTGTCAACAAAAAATTACTACATTGAAAGCAAAGTAAGACAAAATATACTCCATGTCTTCTATTATACAAAAGGAGGAGAAAAAGGAACAGTAAAATGAACAGTAGAACAGTAAAAAGGGAACAGTAGAAAAAAGGAACAGGAGAAAAAAGAAACATAAATAGCAATTTTACAGCTTCCCAATAATAATAACTTACAAGAAACTGAAATTATTTAAACCATAGTGTAATAGCAATAGCTAATGATAAACTGAAAATACCTTAAAACCTACGGAGTATAATAATAGGCTTAATATGAAAGAAAATTAAACTAAGGAGAGTCACTATTGCTGCAAAGAAAATCCAACTAAGGAGAGTCACTTTTGCTGCCTGATAAAGAAATTATAAAAAGGATATCTTCTACTGAAAATAGTTGTAAAAAGTACAGTTTCAAAGGAAAATAGCTGGTTTTTAATTCTACGACTGTTGTTGGCCTTCTGTCTCAATATTTAAGCTTCAATAAATGGATAATAGCTTCCAGGTAATTAATTAAACTAGCTTTACTATTTACTAAACTAGCTGCTAGGTAAATACGCAGTAAGTTGCAAAAGTATAGCTTTTACTGCCTAAGCTAACCATTTATTGGTAATCGAAAGAGCTGATAAGCTCCTGAAATTGGCTTAAAAGTCCAACTCATGAATGAGGACATGAGTGATTGAGAAGCGCTTAGAGATAACAGTTTGGTTAAAACTATTTGCATAAGATGTGATTATATTCAGATAATGGGTCAAAACACTTAAACACCACTTGATTTTGAATATATACCAACTACCAAGAATGTAACAATTAAGAATCCGATTCCAAATTATAAAACTGCAGAAAATTGTGTAAAACAAAATCAAATATTCACATAAATTGCATAAAAAATTTATAATAAAAACATTAATAGATTATTAAATGACCACTTACGGAGTATTAGTTACGGACTCACCTGGAGTAGTGGAGTCCAGGAGCCCTGGATGATGATTCCTGAGTTGCTGCGGCGGTAAGACCTGCGGACGGTGGCTCTGCGGCCTGGAGCAGAGTCTGGAAGGAGACTGGAGAGGGAGAGTGTCGGCTCGTCGTTCGTCTCGCTCGGTTGCTCGTACGCCTTCACACTTTAGTCTTTCGCAGAATTGCAGTTCGATGCTTCGAGCCCCTTCTCCCCGTTGCTAAATGCTTCACGCCCCTTCATTACCGCACCTTTTTTTAGCTATTGGGTTAATTAACTAATGGAAAATGCTAGAAGTACAACCAGTTGTACACAACTTGTACACACAATGTCTTTAACAGACAATTGGTACGGAATTGCCTGTGACCACAGACAAGAGTTGTCTGTGTACACAGACAAATTTTGTCTGTTTCCACAGACATTTACTTTTTTGTAAAAAGTACTTGTCATTGTCAGACGGCTCTCAGTGTATTTTTTACAAAAAAAAAGTAAATGTTTGTGGAAACAGACAAAATTTGTCTGTGTACACAGACAACTCTTGTCTGTGGTCACAGGCAATTCCGTACCAATTGTCTGTGACCGACATTGTGTGTACAAGTTGTGTACAACTTATGTACCCCTAGCATTTTCCTTAACTAATATGGAGTAGTAGTTAATACTACAAAAAAAGGCCCTTCCATTATTTTTGGCCCTGTGGGGTGGGGCCATTTTTTTGGTTCCTAAACTTTTAAAGATCTGTCCCGTCCTCAACCATTTGAGTTTTCTAAAATTAAGATCGATCCTAACTCGCCCCTAACCTATATTACCTGCCCCGACCCGCAGTTCCTGGACACGTTTGCCCATCCCTACTCTCTAGTAATAACGAAATTTAAACGCGTGAATATAGGGCCTGCTCAGACGGTGTGTAGGCTGTCTTAAAATTTGAAAAAAAACGGGTACCCGGACCGACCCGTTTTATAATGTTTTTTTAAAATACTTTATTACATTTAATAAAATATACTAATAACAGAAAGTTTTTCATGTTCTTGTGTCTAGACAAAGAGTCTCAATTAAAATAACTTGACAATCTATTAAAAAGAGTTTCAAAGTCCATAAAAATCCTAAATTATTTCTCCCAAATCTCTATTCAAAATGCATCAAACTTTCTTTATTTAATAAATTTTTTTGTAAACGAAGACTCTTACTCACTGGAGTCTGACATATTTATTTAATTATCTTAATGTCACTTATATTTTGAGATTTAATCAGCTTTAAATTGTTTTCATATACAAATGTGTATGGTAACTAGTTTAGTTTCTTCTCACTTTATAGTGATATCTTTTTAGTTTATGGATATAATGATGTCTAAATCTCTACATTTTAAATTTTGGTGTTATTTAATTTGGGTGGTTTTGTGTTGTTTAATTTATAGATTTGTGGTTAGATATTTTGTTAACTAATTTAAAATGTTGTTTTATATTTTTTATTTTCAATTTGCACTATATTATGGTGACATTGATACTTAATTAGTCAGAGAATGTTATACCTACTAGATACTTTGCACTATATTAAGGTCTGGTTCCTATTTCAAAACTTGGAATACCCGGACCAAACCTACCCGTTAAGTGGAACCGGCGGTTCTTGAAAATTTATCAATTACCCGAACCAACCCGGACCGTGCCCACCCCTACTAGAGAGTGTTGGCGCCTAAAGTCATTAGAAATCACTGGAGAAAGACGATAAGATAAACTGTAGCTCTGAGTTTCAAAAGTGCCCGGAAAATTCAAAAAAAAAATAATGGGAGGTGCTCCTCAACACGAGGACCTCTAGGGCATCTTTCTTTTTTGTTTCCATCCACCCTTGTAACTGAAAAGATCACTGGAAAATGATATTAGTGATATCATTTTAAAAATAATTCAAACATTTGAAAATCGGAGTTACTGTTCATCATCTTCCTCCGACGTTTTTAACGGCATTAGGCGTCAGGACCTTCCTGTGCTAACATAGTTTAAACACATGACCGACTTTGTTAAAAAATGAATCGAGACACATGACTCTATCTGAAAAACGGGCTCAACCACAAGTACTTTTCTCGTATTTTAGCTTATTATTATTATTATTATTATTATTATTATTATTATTATTATTATTATTATTATTATTATTATTATTATTATTATTATTATTATTATTATTTTTATTATTATTACTCAATTGACATGTCTGTTGTAGTGATGACGAATGAACTTAGGCTATGTTTGCATTTGCTTTTTAAAAGCACTTTTCAGCTTATTTGGATGCAAAAGCTAAAAATGGTGTTTTCAAACCAAAAAAATTGCTTAAATTTAAGCGCTTTTCGTCAGAAGCTGTAAGCAGCACCGAGGTTGCTTTTAACTGATTCTGGGTTATTTTGTAATATCATTGAAGTTTAAGGATAGTTATATCCATAGCTTTTCCATCCGTATCCGAAACTACCCTTTATCTTCTTTGGCCTTCTCGATCGAATTCTTCTTCGTTTCGTAGGCAGAGCATCAGATGAAGCAGGAAATCCGGTCCTCTGCTAGATTTGTTCATTTGAGTTATGAAATTTACTCTCAATTTCATTTCAAAAATTTCACATCTCTCCTACACGCACGACCATACATGCATACATGGGAGAATCACATGTTTAGATACCAATTTGAGAAATCACAAAGAAGGTAGTGATGTTGTGCATTTGCCATTTGCTCGTTGGAGAAAGGGTGTGGCCAGGACCTTCTGCAGGTCTCTTTAAAAATGGGGTGCTAAAACAGTAAAACTGCTAATTCAGACATTCCGCAGGCATGACGCGTGTGTTCGATTGGAATATATGAAAATTGTGTTTTTGAGGTCATTTTTGTACTTTTCCAAAAATATTACACTACAATCACTTTTTTATCAAACACTTCAACTTTTATCCTTAAATTAAAATCACTTCTATTCTCAAACACTACCTACTTTTACTACAAATCACTTTCTCAATAATCACTTTAAAAAATCACTTTTGAAAAGCACAAGCAATCGCAAACACAGCCTTAGTAGTCCATTTGGGATATTATTATCATACACTTTTTTTTAATATCAAATACTAGCGTACATCATTTTTTATTCCGCGTTTCGAATGATGAATAATTCAAATAAATAAGGTTGGAATATTTTTCTGATTAATTCGATTGAAATTGTGAAAGATGGTTATTTAAGCTATTTCTGCTACATTTTTTTGTTTTGTAATGACTTTTTGCATAATTTAGAAGATTTATTAATAAATTTAGTCACTTCAGCCAATAGACTAGATCAGCCTACCCGAACTAAATAAATTTGAATGTGATATGCACTAGTTAGTAGTGCATAAATGTGTGTTTTTATATCTTGTTTTGTGTGGATTGTTTACCATTTGTGTGTAGTTGTAAACATTTGTTTACTTTTATTTGTAAGTATTTTTAGCTTTTATTTGTGAGTTAGGAAGTTTTGGTAGAATTATTGGCAAGGAAAAGGAAGAAAAACAAGGAGAATGCTGCCCAGGAGTGTAAACCCGACCGGGTAGAAACCTTCACCCGATCGGGTTTGAATTAACAATTGCGATCTCCAGGAAATTGCTTAGCCCGGTCGGGCCCTATACCTCACCCGGTCGGGTGAGACTTGACCGAAGACAACCTGATGTGCTGAAGAACACTAGAACGTGGGAAATATTTGATTCGGACCGGTACCCGGTCGGGTACCCGGCCAAAGGTGTTGAAAAACACCTATAAATAGCACACTTTTCCTTCACTAAAAAACATCCTTTCTTCCATACTCTTAAGCTCAGTTTAGAATAGTATTTCTTTTATATTTTTATAGCATGTTTAGTCTCCAAATGAGGAGCTAAACTCTCCCATCTTGGTTTTGCCCCTTTGAAGCTTAATGAATTTGTAAGTTGTGAGTTATTATCTTTAATCTTCTTCCTTGAATATTAATTCTCTTTTTAAATACTATTTCTATATCAATGTTGGGGAGTGTTACTAAGATGACAATTAGTTAACATCTTGACATTAGTTATAGTAATAGTTATTTCTTCCTCTACGTTAATATCGGGGAGTGTTACTAAGATGACAATTAGTTAACATCTTAATATTAACTATAGTAGGATTCATCTTCTTTAATATTCTTTCTTGAGTATTAATTAATTCCTATTCATATTTCATATTAATATTTTGGACATTACTTAAAGGATCAACTAGTTTTGCTTCATATATTAATTAATACTAGAATCGGTCGATTAATACGCTTGTTATTAATTCGGTCCTTTCACGGTAGTAAACTTGGATTATTAATGCATGCATCTCATGGTTAATAATCTAAGGGGAATTAATTACATTGATTAACCAATAAACCGCTTGTGTTGAGGTTATCAATCTCAATCGTTTTCATCTTAAGTTTATTGCTACTATCAAGTTAATATACGGCGCTTGTTCTATATTGACTCGATAGTAAGTTTTATTAATGAACCCATCTCGTTATTAATAACTACCCTCGATGAACTGGATATACTCCTCGATTGAGTATTCGAGAGGAAAATAGTTAAAGATATAACCGGGATCGACGAACATTTCATTAAGTGGATAAAAGCAAAACCAAGCCTCCATCTCTATTAAAGTAAACCACATAACTCGTTCATCTTTGTGTTTAAACATAATTTAAGTTCATAAACCAATCATAACCCCCCCCCCCCCTTGTTACTTATTTAGTTCTATAAAAAGAGAAGTATTCCTTTCCCTGTGGATACGAATCTTACTACGCTATACTACGTATAAGTGTTGTATTGTATTATTTATTTTGAGTGCACCTCACGACAAGTGCACGTCAGAATGCTTAGACTTTTAGATGTAATTAATATTATTATTATTATTTTGTTCTTTGAAACTTCATACATTATATTGTTTATTATTATATTTAAACAAATTGGACTAGATGGAACTTAAACAAATTGAATCAAACTTAAATAAATTGGGCAAAATCCTATAATGCTAAAGCATAATTGTTCAAAGCACATTAGGTCAAACCAGTCGAGACAGAAATATTATGTAGTAGTCTTATATCCACAAGCCATTTATCCGAGCACACTCAGATAGATCATATTAGACTTCCTTTTCCCCAAAATTTTACGTGTAATATTGTATCATGAAAAAAAAAAATTGATGTGATATATTTTTTTTGTAAAAATTCGAAACCAAATGAAAAACATATAACATTCTATAATAAAAAAAAAGGGGAAAAGAG